ACCCGAACAAGGGCCTATACCCGTAGGCGTAGCCCATGATCGGTGAGCAAGTGCCAAAACCCGTAGGCGTAGCCCATGCTCGGGGAGGAAAGAGGTCAAAAATAATATTACATTTTTAGCTATATTACATCAATACAATAAATGCAAGAGAATCGTTGTCCACTACCATCCATAAACATAACATCCACGCAAGATGATATAAAACATATAACTTAATCAACATTAAGAAATATGCATCTATCTAGTTATGCAACAAATTGGAAAACTAGATAACATAGGGATTATCCTAACTCAAATAGGACTATCATGCTTCTAACATACAACTACACTAGTTGTAAATAAGTGTTTTGCAATTTATACAAGTGTTTTTACTCCTAAAAACATATGAACCAAAAATCACATTTTTAAATCAACAACTTGTATAATTAATTACAAAACAACTTGAATAAATTAACTAGTTTCATTAAAACATCTTTTAATTAAACTAGTAATTAGAAGCAAGAACAAATTTATGAAGGAAATCGTGCTATGTCTACATGCATAATACATAGCGGAAGACATGTATGTACAAAAATACTAAGCATGTAGAGAGCATGAAATATTCATATGGATCGTCTAATTAAATCTAACATAATCCCTATATTAAAGAGAGCATACAAGAGTTAGAAAGTCATACTTTCGAAGCGTGATTCGATGGAAGATCGAATAACCCCTAGCTCGTGCTCCTTGTAGTAGAAAATCTCCTCGTAGTGGATCTCCAAGTCTTCAAGTGGGCTTGATAAAATGGGAGTCTTCTTGAGACACAAGGCAAGATATCCACCCATGGATTCTTAAAATCCTACTACTTCCTCTTGCTCAAAGATTGCTAAAGTTTAGTAAGAGGAGAGCTCTCTTTTATTCTCTTATGGAAAAAACCACTTAGCCAATTTTTTATTAGTCCTTCCATAAGAAAGAGAGCTCATATTTATAGAGTGGAATGTGTTCATGACATGAATGACTCATCCTACGAGTCATGCAATGAATCATCAAATATCAATGATTAATCTAATGAGTCATGCAATGAATCATCTTATGAATCATTACATTTCAAAACCATATGCTAATAAACCATGTGCTCAAACCATACCACTAAATGACTCATCTCATGACTCATTATACATGGTATGTGTATTTCATAAATGAGAATACCAAATCAATATTGTATTTCATAAATACGATATTTTGTAATTTTCCAATCATTGATTAATAAGTCATCATATGACCAAAAAGTCAATGAGTTGACCAAAAGTCAACTGTTGACCAAAAAGTCAACTAGTTGACTAAAAGTTAACTTTATAGGAAAAATACTAGAATTCATTTCCTAAGCACATAGCATTCCGATTTTATCGATATACATAACCGTTTATGTGTATCCGGTAAAATCATATATGCGTATCAATCATACGCATCACTCTATAAATTGTGTTTCATAGGATTCAAGTACGCGCTTGGTGTGACTCTAGGGCCCAACTTAAAAAACTCGGTAGTGGATCATATCCATAAGTACAACAGAGGTGCTAGCTACACATGAAGACCACCCGGGTATAAGTTGTGATAAAGGTCTGCAAGATGCTTATCCAATTTTATCAGGACCACTCAATGATAATACCGTACAGTCCGGTCTCTTCGTCAAACCATGTCAAACTATTGAGCCTAGGGTATGGCAAACTGTCAAACCCTAATAGCTTGATTAGTGTTTATTGATATTAAACTCATAACCTATAAGATCAAACTGACACTCAGTTTATCTTATTCACCTTGGCCAAGGATTTCCAGGCTATAGTTATATCAAACAATCTTATGACATCAACCCCTATACTGGGAGAGACGAATCCCTTCTTGGCATCTCAATATCTACTTATGTCTCGGGATGTACCCAACAAGAACCGTTATGCACAATTCAATAAGAACTGTGGTTAGGTAAAAGTCTAAATACATCTTTACTGACATATAAGATATTGCACTCATGCCTCAGGTCAAGAGACTACTATGTACTATATCACTTGAGAACTTCTATTTGACAGTTAAGTATAATTACCAACTAGATGTTCTCAGTGAGTCGTTCAGTCAACTCATTCACTAATGAGTCACCTGTATACTATATCTTGATGTCTCACATCAATGATCTAAGAGATGGATCATCGTCCTTCCAAAGGAGAAATAAAGTATACACTAGTCTTACCAAAGTGATGATGTCCCATTTCAACACTTCATCGACTAGGAACATTTTAAAATATACGTTAGCGATAAATCAGATCTCTTCATTACGATCATATCCGAAATGTCTGATAGTCTAGTATTATTCTAAGGACTTTATCTGTATTAAAATACCAGATAAATCTGACCAAAATAGCATACTATTATTTTAAACAATGATGTTATATTCATATAGGTCCTATTACAATATACAATTATTACCTACATGGCACCTATATCCAACAAAGAAGTCATAGCTCAAGGGTGTTTTCTACTTCATTTTCTAATTCTAATCCGAATCAAGAAAGAGTACGCATATGAAAAGGAAAGCTGTCCTTCGACAAGTAGACGAGAGTCAACAAAATTTCAGATCTACCTGCAATTGGACAATAATACAAGGGGTCTATCCGCAACTGAAAAAAAAAACAGATGAGAGAAGAAAAGAATAGTCAGTCTTACCTTATAGTCATGCCAACCATTCAGCGCGTGCAGCTCGATAATCCCCTTACAGTTCATCATCAACCCAACAACAACACCCTCCCTAACCGGCATCTTACAATATAAACAAACCCCCAACACCACCACAAACTTCACAACTGAGCTCGCCCCAAACAACACCGACAGAAAACCCCACCTTCCGTCCTCCCTCAACGCCGACAAATTCGTCCTCTCAAACCCTCTGTTGCCACATAAAGAGGCAAAAGAATTCCAACCACAAACCGATCAACCCGGTCCGTCAAAGTCGTCCCTAACGGAGGCCCACCAGGCAAAACAAGCCCCAAAATCAACGGTCCAATCATCACATTGCGACCAAGCAAATTCCCCCATAAGCCCACAACAAGTGCTAGCAACACAATGGTCAAGAAATGTGCCTCGTCCATGGCCCCTCCCTCCGGAGTCCTTCGTATCATCCACATTGCTACCGGTCGAGCAACGAAGAATATAAACGCTGTGTATGCGGCGAAGACTAATAAAGCGAAGAACCCCTTCGCCGAAGAATGTGCTGACGATCCGAGCCCAATGGAAGAAAAAAGCATTGAGAGGAACATGTGTTGGAGATCAGAGATTAGGGAGGCAGAGAGGGCGAGGCGGCCAAGTTTGGTGGAGAGGAGGTTAAGCTCGTCAAGGAGGCAGGCAAGGACGCTGTTGGAGGTGACAGCCTATCGGGTGCAGAGTGGGGTGAGGACATCGCCCATGTTGTCATGGGAGGAAGGGGAGGAGACGGTGAAGGAGAAGATGATGGAGAGGAAGAAGGGGATGATGGTGGCGAGCTCAGCGATGGCGAGAGCTTTCTTGCCAGAGATACGGACGACGTTGAGGTCTGTTTTTACACCGATGACGAAGATAAAGAGCATGCAGGCGAGGAGGGAGTTTATGTCAAGGTTGATTCAGCTTTGGATGGGGAAGACTAGGGCTTGAAAATGCTTGTCTTTTGAGAGGAGGGAAGGGCTGAGGATGATGCCGGCCTAATTCAAGGAGGAAACAATTCAATACATATGCATGATAGATGCATGTATAGCCCTTGTATTATATAGATATAGCTACTTAGGGCCAGTTATAAGTTGCTTATATAACCAGCTTATAGAAGCAACTTATTTAAGTTGCTGAATATAATTATTTGGTAACAAGGTGTAAAATTGTGCTTAAAAAATCTTTGAGTGAAAATGACAAAAATAGACATGAACTTTAGTTATGAAAATAAACAAGATAATTTTAGAATAGATACCGTAAAAATTTAAAAGCTAAAGGGTATATATGGTATTAAAAATTACAAAACAAAAACTGTCTTTAAAAGCATCCTTATGTTGCTTCTAAAACTACCCTCTTAAAAGCATTAGCAAATTCAAAAAGCATGCAAAATAAATTTTACCAAACATGATTATTCACTACTTTCTAAAGGCAGGAGCAGCTTAAGAAAAGCAATATCAAACTAGCCCTAAATTCTCTATTTTATTATCACATACACCTCTCGGTCTCTATTTTATTATTACATACGCCTCTCGGTCTCGTAACATTATGTTTTTTCCTATAGGTCATAAATTTGTACTTTCTTAACTCTTGTGAGAACCACATGATGACGAGTTGGATATTTCCATGTGACATTAAAATCTAACCGGAAAATAAAGCTTTGACAAGGATCAAGAGATCTATGTGCTACTAAAACAGAATCTGAGTAATATCCATAAATACTTATATGTTGCAAGGGTTAATTGCAAATAGACCCTAGTAGCTCTATTGTTGCGGATAGACCCCTAGGTGAAATTCTTCGACTGTTTGGTTGGTCCAAAATGTGTAGAAAAGCCCAAAAAAAACTAACACGGAAAAAATAGTCAGTTTCCCCGTTTTCCCTCATTTTTTAATGTTTGGCTTACCAAAATAAAACAGAAAAGAGGAAGAGAAAACAAACGTCACGTAGGATTTGGAGGCGAGTCAATTTCCGTCCCCAAAAGCCTATAAAAATTTTGAGCCGTACCATTCTTTCGATGCTGGAGAGAAAAGGGGGAAAGCTTGGGTTGCCGCTCTCTCTCTCATCCCCTCATGTCGAGCCGCTGCTGCGGAGGGAGATGTTGAGGGTGGAGAAGTTGGCTAAGATGTGCCGGTTCCCGTGGCGGCGACTATGGTTGGTTCGACTTGCTAGAGGAGCCACGCGATGGTCTCGCCGTCGGATTTGTGGCCGAGCTCGTGGGTGAGTGGAAGACGTGAGCAGCGCAGGCGGCCCGGCAATGCGGGATGCTGCCGGCCGGCCGGCCTTCGACCTTGTGTGGGGGCGGTCTTTGGAGGCGCGCTTGATGACTAGGAGCTTCTTGTTCGGATCGGAGACCGATGGGCCTAAATCGAGGGCCGATGGGACCTTTGTAGTCTCGTGAACTCTCAATTTTGGAGATAAATTTCATTAAAGACCCTCAACTTCACGAGCAAAAATATTAGTCAGTCATTATCAAATAGTTTGCACTTATTTCCTCAAATCCTTTAAATTTTTGAAAATTACTTCATCAAGCTTAATATTAGTCTATGAAATCTTTAGAGGATTGGAATTACCCTCCTAAAAGTCTATAATTAGTTGAAATTACTCACTAAAATCTCTATTGTAAATTACCCCCTTAAATTTATAAATGGACCCCCAAATGTTTAAACAATTTCAATTTCCTCCCTCAAATGTTCACATTTTGAATTTAGTCTCTCAAATGGGTTTATAAAAACTTAAATTAGTCTCTCAAATAAATGAAGATTTGGACTTACTCCCTTAAACGTTCATAATTAGTCCCTCAAATCTTTATAAATTTTACAAATTACTACCTTATATTTAAAAGTGGTCATATTTCAGAATTTTTTACCCTTAAATGGTGGGTAATCTCACCCCACTTATGTTTGAAATTAGCCCCTCAAATCTTTAAATATTTTGCAAATCACTACATCAAATCTTTTTAAAAAATTGCAAATTAGTCCCTCAAAATTTTAAATAATTTTATGTGACGGTTAATATATTGGAAATAAATTTATCCTATACGGATGGTAAGCATACCATGGTGACAATAGTAATGGTTTTTCATTTTTTTTTTTTTCATTTTTTTTTCATTTGAACCAAACACTAGAAAGTGAGGGAATCTATTCACACATCAATTGTTTTCTTCTTTTTTCAAGTTGAACCAAACTAAGAAAAGTGGTGAAAAGTACTTTCAGCCCATATTTTTTTGGCGAAACAAACACAAGAAACACTTTCCATGAAAGTGAAGGAAACACAAAAAAAGTAAAGGAAAATCGTTTTTGGAAAACGAAGGAAAGGAACCAAACAGCCTCTCAGAGGAAGAGAAATTTGTTGTTTGACAAATAGACTTCTTGAGGTAAAAGCATAGAAAAGATCTCACATGGGATGTGTATCTGCAATTGGGGGACAATAAGGGATCTACTCACAGCCATAACATAACTACAGGGGGTATATCAGCAATTGAGCAATAGTACAGATGATCTGTTTGCAATTAACCCTTTTAAGTAATAAAGATAGAGGGGATCGAAGCTTACCATGAGATCGGAGATAAATTGGGGTTGGCCTAAGTGCTTGAGGATGGAACGAATGAGACGAGAGATGACGAAGATGAGGATAATCTGCACAAGGATAACTGGAATAGGGAAGTCGAATGGCTTGTCGCCGACCCAGAGGCCACCTGAAGAGGTGATTCTGTTGGTTTTGTAACATAGTAGATATTGTGTCAATGAGTAGTTTTCTGTCTTTTTAGGTATAATCTCAACGTCCATGGTTCAGAAAAATCAAATAAAAGATTAAGAATTTTAGGGTGAGCTTACATTCCTGAGGAGGCTCTGGATGAGGGGAGGGAGATGTGGATGTATTCTCCTTAATTTGTGATGGTTCACCAATCAAAGATAAATTGCAGTGATCTGAAATTAGAGAAAATCCTGCTAACATACCCTTTCAAAAATGATACTGCTTGCGCTTATAACAGTCCTTTGATTGATAAGAAAAAGTTACATGGGTAATACGAAAAGTATCAAATTAATGTGGCTACAAGCGTGCCCCAAGCATAACCCAATGTTTTCGTAGGCACTAAATGTTGCTAGAGGAGAACACTAATTAGCATAAACCCATGTATTAATAGTTTCCATAAATAGATAGCAAAATGAACATTACAGGTAAAAAGTAAGACAAATAGATAGCAGAAACAACATTACAGGTTAAAAAAAGGCAAAATAAGGCAGAAAATATAAATAGTGTAGAAGTAAATACCACTTTGAAGATCTCTCCAGAAGGGACTGGGCAATTGGGGAGCCAAAAATTCTTTAAAAAAATATTTTTGCATTGTCAAATGAAGAATAAAGATTCAAAGTTAAGCATAAATGTATCGAGACCTAAACAGATATAGGCATATAGAGAGGATGATGGTCTCACCTTCAAAAGTTCAGCAGCTAAGGCCTCTTGTGCTTTCTACTTGTCAGAATGGTCAAAGACACCAGAAAAAATGACATCTTTGTAAGTATTACCAACTTTCAGTGAATATTCTGGGTCAGAAAACCTAAGATGCATTAGAGCCAAGAGGTTTTCAATGCTAATAGCATAATAAATCAAGAGAAAGAGGGATTATCATAAAAATATATAGAAAAAACCCTGTAGCATCTGGAGCATGGCACCGCTTCTTTAACATCTATAATCTACAAAATTACAAAAGAATTAAACAAAAAAATATATCAGAAAGAGGTATACTGGCCAGAAACTAACATCAGGTAAATGTCATGAAATATTCTCATATAGGTTTGTAGGTTCAAGGAGAAGCAGCTTACCACATAAAAATAAAGTAAGCTTGCGTCTTATGTTATGTCAAATGAGACTGCAGGCACCTTGAATAAATTTACCACTACTAAGCATTTGGATGATAAATCAAAATCATTAGCCTGCCAATGCATGGCAGATATTACTGATGTTATGTCAAATGAGACTGCAGGCACCTTGAAAAAATTTACCACTACAAGCATTTGGATGATAAATCAAAATCATTAGCCTGCCAATGCATGGCAGATATTACTGATGTTCGAAAGCATGATCCTATATCTGCTCATATTTGAAAAACAAAACAGATAATCATGACACAGCCAAGATCATAGAATTCCTGATGAGAAGCAAATAGGACAGGAAATATTCTCAATCAATAAAACGTTTTCTCAAATATGAGCAGATATATGATCATGGTTTCTAACATCAGTAATATCTGCTCATATATCTGAAAAATATTTGAGAAACATTATCTGCTCATATAAGAACAATCATTTACCTTAAATAACAACAAAAACATGGTAGGTCGATCAGCAGCAAGAAGACCCTATTACCCGTGCAAAAAATTTGAGTGCAAGTGCCAACTTGATGCATCACTGTAGCGCAAAAAAGGCATGAAACAAATCTGCATTCTCATACGATGCCGTGATCTTCAACTTTCAGAAAACTTAATTTATAACAATGAAACAAATCTGCATTCTCATATGATGTCATGATCTTCAACTTACAGAAAACTTAATTTAAGCATCATCTAATGATCCTAAACAAATTTGTAATGTGAATTTTGTTCCGAGGCTAAAGTATGGAGAAGTACCACGAACTATAAGAATTCACACCTCTACTCCAGAAACTATTAAAACTTAATTTATTACAATGAAAATCATGATTTCCCTAACCTGTACCAGATCATGATCCATCCTCCTCCTTCGGACCATACAATTCAGAATAGCATGTTCCCTCAACAAAAATTCACAGAAGAACGAAACTCCATTGCCCTCTCAATTTTGCAGATAGTTGGAGTCTCCTGTAAAATTTCTAGGAAGTTCATGGTGGCATCTCCTCGACAAAATAATCTTATAGTAACTTTTTCTAACGTTTTTGCAAAAAGAATGGTTAGTTCATTCTATACTGGGGCCTTGTATCTAACCACACACTTGCAAAATGCTAGATGGCTATGGTAACCATAGTTTCATTCTATTTCTGAGGAATTTAATGCATTAAGGGGACATGTCTAGGTGCATAATGTCAACGTAGAACTTCCCAAGAAGAGGATCATTCTCGAACTGCATTGTGCTCTTTTTCAAAATAGTTCCTGTGCAAGCTCCAAGACATTTACAGATATTTTTCAGCATAATGATCTCCAGATGATTCACTGTTTCATGAACGTCAGAAGCACATAGAAACTAAGTGTGAGAATGTAGTTATACCAAGGCACGATACATTCTAAAATGCTTAATTAACTCCTATCGTATTCTCACTAAATAATCTAATGAAAATTTTGCAAAAGAGACCCAAAAGCATGAGATATCTTGTCGTAACATACACATGCATAAACATATGTCAAAATATTTGGTAAAATTACCTGCCATCACCACAAGGATTTTAAGGTTGAAAATGTTCGAGACTAGAGGTCCTTCACCTGCATAAACCAAGAATCACATAAAAGTTCCAACAACAAGCCAATCATGGCTACTTCAAAACTGAAATGAACCTTGAAGATTGTACCTCTGTTAGGAACTCCTGAGGGCCCCGGCGAAATCGCAAGGGTGCCATCTTCACCAATGTCATCATCAACGGCTAATGGAAGTAATTTATGATACGCATGAATATAGGCACAAGTAAAAACAATGACATGAGCTCCTTCCAAAATTCAGCTTCAAAATAGAAGCACATCACACTAAGGATTGAGCTATTGATATTGGGATGAAACCGGGCCATAACCAACATATGTGCAGTCCAAACCTGGGCCATTAATAACCCCATTTATGTGCTGCACATCAGATATTGTTCTCTAACCAAGAGTAAAAGAAATGTCCCTGAAGGTTCACACTAAAATTGAACCGGAAAATCCCTGAATCTAATGTCAGAAATTTGAAAAGATAATGCTATCATACATGTAAAGTCATCTTCAAAGAATAGTCATAAAAGATGATCTTACCAAAAAATAATTATAGAAATATTGATCAAAAGAACAGTTAACACATAATGTTGAGAATAGGACATAATTAAGCAAGCATCGTCTTAGAACCACTAAAATTTTCATATTTCTCATTGGAACCTATAGAAAGCACGAACCCTGCAGGGAGACTAACCACAAAACAAGTTTCATGCTTTAAACTTTAACTTCATTTGTTGTCCCTATCAGAAACTTACAAACAAAATGAATAATGTGCACTCCATAACTGCTACAGACGAGAAAAGCCATACAGTTGAGAACTTTAATTAAGGTAACTGTCATTTTCTTATGTCAGGATTTCAGAACACATAAATAATACAATCACAGGTGTTGTTTGTTGCAAGCAGAGAATGTTGAACACTAAAAAGAAGTTAGCCACTGAAGGAGGGACTTGTACAATCACATTTATCATCTGTCAGTAGCCACATGAAATGGTGTTCATTGAAGAACAAACAAACAATACACACAAGATGCGAAACTGCAGTTTGGGAAAGAAAAGGCTAATGCATGTACTTAGTAAAACCAGGAGATAGACAACGGAAAATTAAATTGCAAAGTTGTTTATCTCTTCGTCTTTTGAGTATCTTAAATAACCACAAGAAGTTGTCCTCCAAGTTATCTATCGTACCTCACCTTAAATTGCCCCAAGAATTACACCTCTTAGTGACAATTGAAATTTGGGATTAATTTATCTATCATACCTTATCTTAAGTCTACAATGACAATCGAATTGACAGTAAAAGGTGTATTAAAATAAAGAAAAAGCAAACAAATAACCGAAGCAATCAAGCACGTAAAGAAAAACTTAAAACAGTCACGGAAAAGAAAGGATGAATATTATGAGAAAAAATATCAAAGTTCATGAGATTACAATTTATATTCTTGGCGCATCTTAAATAGCCACTACAAGTCCGCCGTCTAGCCTGTCAATTCACCATTCTCATGTAAGTAACACTAAGGTCTCATTTGGTACGCGGGAATGGGGTGGAATGGAATGAGCATTCTCACTTCTCATTCCTTTCTACCAAACACACCCTCTTTTTTGAAGTTGGAATGCACATTCACATTTCTCATCAGTTCCCACTTTATGTGGGAATGAACATTCCCAATGAAATGATAGGAAATGGGCATTCCCACTTAAATGGGAATCAATAAAATATACAATTTTAAAATACGTTCATTCCCACTTCATTTTATAAATTACACCCATACGTGAGAATGTCTATTTCATTCTCACATTAATTCCATTTCATTCCTTTTTCCATTCCATTCTCATTACAGTCCATTCCCGCGTACCCAACGAGGCGTAAGAGAATTAATAAGTGCTTAAAAAGCAAAGAAGAGCAAAGTAATAGGCTAATAGGCAAAAGTGCCTTGGAAGTGAAAAGAACTTGGGTTTTCCACATTTGTTGATGAAATACAGATACACTATGGGGGGAAAAAACAAAGCTACAAATTTCTCCACTCCAACAAAAATAGATATTCCTATGATAAAACAAATGAATATTACATAAGCTGTAACTATGATTATGATATAATCATTTAATTCTGTGAGCTTGTAATAGGTTTACCAATCACCACCACTGATGAACGAGAACTCCATTGTCCCTTAACGAAGTAAACAGCTCCAAGCACTGCCCATAAGTATACTCGTATTTCGGCGATCTCTCGCCAGGACAACACCTCTGCCATCGATTATAATGACATTCAAGAAACAACTCATCAATCAAACAAATAGCTCCCGTCTCAAACAACCTTGGAATTAGATCAAACTCAGTCCCCTCAACATCCATCTTCATCACCACAAAATCCTTCTCTGTCACAGTGCTCTTCAACCATTCAGCAAAATCAAACCCTTGAATTGCATGCAAGTCCCCTGTTGATTTCCCATCTAGAGACAACCCCGAGGGTCGAATTCGACCCATCCCTTTTCCTCCTTTCTCATCAGCTTTCTGATCTTTGTCATGATTAACCTCAAAAGAGAGTGATTCATTTCGAACCCATGCAGCATAGGGCAGCAATTTGATCCCTTTCTTCGTCAAGTACTCAGCATGGAATGCCTTATCAGCCTCAATAGCATAAATTTCAAACGTATGATTCTGTTTCGGGTACTGCTTCTTGAACCAACTCCCAATACTCGATCCATAGCTCCGAGCACCGATATCAATATAAATGTACCTTCTTTTAAAGCTGATATCGGCCACCGATGATAAATACTTGATGTTTTTTATGTTCCTTTTCAAAGTAAGCCAAGGCTTGAGTGGTTCCTCTTGAATCAGAGGCTCAGCAGACTGAACCAACTGGAGCTTGTGCTCAGGGACAGAGCACTTATCTACAGAATTGCCATTGCCATTGCCATCGCTGCTGCTGTCCTCTTGAACCCTAGCTTCCTTCTGGAAAACGACCTCCTTGAGAGTTTTCGACGAATCCAGGCCTTCGATTTCACGAGATCGAACCTTACCACAGAAAGGGAACAGAACTTGAAGAGAGTAAATACTGTACAAATCGCCAGCAGACGCCGTGAGAATCACAAGAAACCCTTCGGGCTTCAATACCCTCACTATCTCCGATGCTAGATCCAATGGCCTATTAGAATCATCGATGCTCTTGCCAACAAAAACGAAATCAAAGGTATTGTTCGCAAACTTCAAGTTCAACACATCACCGGCCATGACCAAAGGCGGCGATCTCTTCTTCGAGACTCCGACGGCGTTCGAGACGCCGATCTCCTTCAAAGCGAGCACCTCCTGGCCCTCTAGGGTTCCAACGCATAGAGATTTGAACGAGGGAGCGAGGAAACCCTCAACGATCAAATCCTGAAAGATCGAGGAGTAGAAATCAACGGATCTCCTCCACTCCCTGCTCCTCCACGCCGGATTTGATGACGTCGCGTCTCCGGAGACGCTGAAGGAGGCGGCGCGTCCGGTGGAGGCGGCGGCGGAGGTCCGACGAGCTACAAGAACCGCCGTTGACGGAGACGACGTACACGAATCTAACGGCGACGATCAAAACTCCGATCAAGAGGAATCGAACGAGCTGAGCGCGGATCGAGCTCGGCTTCGACGGGGAATCCATGAAAAATCTTTGTTAGGAGAGAGAAAACTTTACAGAAAGCAAGGGGTATATTTGGAATAAATTTAGGGTTATATCGGGAAGGGGACGGAAAGTTCTAGCGAGAGCAGAAGCGGGCAGAGGTGTGGTTAGCTCCGACGAGGGGTTTGAAGGAGGTCAGAGAAGGGAAATAGGGAGAAATCGGAGGGGTAAATTGGGGATTCTTCATTGGTTCGTTTGGTTTTAGGAGTAGGATTTGTTGCCGATTCTTTCTCTCATAGGAAGAGGAAGTTGTTTTTCTTGAGTTTTCATCGGCGGCGACGAAGGGTTGGGGATATAATAGGGGTGGGATTTATTTATTTTTTAAAAGGATTATTTGCACATATGCCTCTTAAACCATGAGTATTTGCAAGCTTACTTTCTAAATCTCATTAGTTGCAAAACCATACCTCAAATCTTCAATTTAGAAAAAAAAAATGCCCCTGGGTATCTATCAATAATTAACTTTAATAGGCTAATTTGCAAGTGTATTGTAAAATTTATCAACAAAATAGTTAAAACTTACACTCATCAAGTAGATGATTTATTGATTTTAAAGGTATTTTTGCCGAAGTTAATGATTTGAGGGTTAAGATTTTGTACAAACTTTGCAATTACCCGTGATTCGAGGAGCATATATGCGAACAACCCTCTTTTAAAAAAGGAAAAATAAGAAGGCCGCGGTTTTGGTGAGGAGAGATTCGTCGTGTTTGCCCCAGGAGTTGGTGGAAATATCAGAAGTGCCATCTCTGGAGCAAATGTCCGTTCGGCGTTCGAACCGAGCTTTAGTACGTTGCCCCCCTTGATTAAATGTTTCTTTTGCAAATCGCGGAAAGAATGGATAGCGAATACTTAGTCTGCACATATGGCATCTATAAGTAGAAATATTATTCATATCTAGAAGCAGGCCCCACCGTTAATTGTGCTCTTCAAAGAATTCCAACCGTATAGAAAAAGCAATGCTCAAGAAGAAATTATCTTAGTATGTCATGAATTGTGGTGATTGGATGTTTACTTTTTACCATGTCGTGGTAAGAGCCAAAACATAAATAAAGAAAAGCACTGAATTGAATTGAAATTACGAAATTGACGTAGTATGATTTTCTTATTGGAGACTATTTTTCTAATGGGTATCAATAGGAACTCTTTAGAGGATGAGAGAAATGAACATCATGCGGATCTTTTATTATTTGCATTAATTTTTCTATTTACTTGTCATCTATCTCTCTATCTCCTAGTGAGTGCCATTAGGCATTTATTAGAAAAATCCTATTGGAAAATACATGTAGGAGTATATGTTAAATTTTTTCAGATATGATCTTCGCTTAGAGTTAAGTTGAGTTTAGGCACTTGAGCATTTATTTTTGAAAAAAAAAATTGCATGTCATGTAAGTGTCATATTGAAATATTTAGATAAATTGTAATACTTACCTACTAGATTGTACTAATGTGCAAATTTTAAACACTTAGTATATAAATGCTAGAAAAAACAATTTGAGGATATATAAGTGTGAAGTGAGTGAAATTGTAAGGTATTTAAGTGCTATTTAGCCTATATTTTACGCTTTCTAATGTGCGTGGATTTCTGAAGAAACAAGTGCATTGTTAAGGGCGTATATGCATCTTCTTCCTACCCCATTAAAAGAGAGGGCCGGATGATTTTTCATTATTATTATTATTATTTTATTTTATTTCATTTTTTTACTATTACCAAAAATTACAGAACCAGAACTTTATCATATTACCACTTTAGTTAACTAATCCCGAGATTAGAGCCTCTGAGGATCATCCCTCATCGTGGCACAAACCGTAATTCCTCAGAGTAAAGGGTCGCATTTACAAGAACATCGCGCCACCTCTCGTTCACGCGCTCACGCGGTTAACCTCATAACGGCTAGCTGAAAAAGCTGCTTGCACAGAGAAGCAACCAAAAAACGGGGCCCACAAGCACACCAACCGAATTCACCGCTGATGGCGGTCAACGTAAATAAACCAAAACGCTGAGGAGAATTAGGTACACGGATATAGTGACGATGGACCAAGCGTCACGGCCCGTTATAACCATGGCGGTTGGAGAGGAGGAAGAAGGAAGGCATCGCTGGCGCCGACTGGATCCTTCGGTGCATGGATAATTTTGTTATGGGGGGACCAGAAAAAGTCCCCCGAAATCTTACCAAATTCAGACCACAAGCTTTTTGGTTAATTATCCTCAGGGGCCTACTTAATAAATGAATCAAGTGGCATTATTACTATTTTGGCATGTATAATTTCAGAAGAGATTTACTACAGAGACCCAAAATATAAGACCAATAAGGAGAACATGTGAGATGCCCCCCTTCTATTGCATAATGAGCTGGTCATCATTAAACATGTGAGGTGTCCCTCTTTAGATCCTTAGGGAATTTTTCATCTCAGAATTGTTTTATTTGCAAGGATAATTTTAATTTTTAACATTTAGCTGTCCGATTGAGGCAGTTAGCAATTATAGTTAAAGAAACTCGTTCGACTAAGTACTGAAGTTTCAAATTTAAGATCAAATTATGATTTATGTTAAAAATATTTTTATATTACTTGATACGATGAAAAGGAGAAACAATGAAAGTATTATGAAGTATATGAGTTTTATTCGTATACTGAAATTGAAATAAGGAACTCTTATCCACGCACAAGAGCGGATCCATATCTAAAGCTAGGGGCAGCTGCACCCCTTATAATATGCATAATTACATTAATTCTAATGCCTTATAATTTACTATTTAGCATCATGGTTTAGAATTTCTTGCACTCTATTTGAATTTTAGTCCATTTAAATTACAAATTTAGTACCCACCGCAAGTAGCCCAGATGGCTAGGATGTTACCAATATTCATGTAATTAAGCTGATTTAGATTTTTTTTCAATATTCATGAAACCCACATAAAGGACGTAATAAGAGATTTATGTGCTAGGATTCTTCGATTATTAGATTGGCCAATAGCTAGAAGACCTGAACTTATAGGGTAATGAGACAAAAAAGGAACCAATTCATATCATGTTTCAAATTTAATTACCTTATCAAAGTCTATATTAATCATCAGCATTTAAAGCTGAAACAACACATACAAACATAAATGGTAAAATTTACTAAATAGCAGATATCCGACGTGGATTAATAGAGTAAAAAAATTATAACCATATGCATGAACAAACTTATTATGTAAACACAATAGCAATATTAAAAGATGATCTAATATTCGAGATGGGAGATACATTTTTTCTCAATTTACACTAAGGTTCAAGCTATTTAAGGAAATTCTATTTAATAAGAGCTTTCCCAAATAAATTTCTTAAACTTAAAACTAAAATTGACATGTTTGAATGATGGAGATATATCATGCGAAGGGACTTGTCACTTGTTGAAGTTTCGTGACAATTACAAGAGAGACTGATTATGTCATTCATATGCATTTTATCAATCTCTACTTCATAAGTTGGCACCGAATCATTGCGATAGCATTTCCATAAAAATCTATTCTATCTTTAATGTCATCCCAAGCACTTCGTTTCTTAGAAATAGAAGTTAGATGGTTGGAAGGAGAGGAAGAGAGAAATAAATAAATAAATTGTAACATACAAAATGAGTAATTAATTAGAAGGTAAAAAAGCCAAAGCTTAAGAAGATATCACTTTAGTAATTAGGATTTATTTATAATAAAAATGTAACATTTATTTTGGATGCATGTAAATATGATGGTTGTTGTATTTATTTAACGTTTTTTTACCTGAAATCATCGTAAGAAAGTTTATTTTGTACTTTTCACTGTAACATCAAAATAATAATACAATTAGCGTAATGCATTCATAATCGTGCCCCTACTTCATGATATTAACATCATAGATTTTTTTGATACAATGTGTTTTCAAATTATACCATGAAATATGTTTAAGGGGTTGAATTTTAAAAATATTTAATTTAATGAGCTTTTAAGCTACATTTGTTCATTTTAGTCTTTTTATAATACATTTTAAATTTTGAGTGATCCCAATGTCTCCAAAAAGAAAACTAATCACCAAATTGATTGTACCAATTTAAATTGCCCAAATTGACTCATTTCTACAATAATCAAGGTTCAAAATATTTTTTCAAAATTTTAATTGAATTATAGAGGAACATACCATGCTAACACGTGCTTGAGCAAATTTAATCCTCGAAAGAAATTGACATCTTATGCTCTGTTAAATTTTCTATTCTAATCCAAGTGAAGTTCTAGTTGAGATTTTCTTTTGTAATTGTATGGTTTTGACTTAGTAGGTATTATGGTGAGCGGAAGAAAACGTATGAGCTAATTTACACTTAAGAGATGAAAGAGAAGTTATATAAAAATAAAAAAGGTTGTTTGTTAGTTAAATTTAGTTCATAGTTTATGCATTGCTTCAAATTGAATTTTAAAAGTCTAGGCTCTACATCTTGTTGTAATAATTATTTGATTAACTTTGTCTTATACTATTTTATGACTGATTAGGAAGAAATTCATAGTCTTAAGTTGAAATTTTGGACTCATTAGCAGCCAGTGCTCAAAAGACCCAAAGTAATAAAAAATGAAGCGCACTCATTCTCATATTTTACATTAGGTAGTTTCTACAAAACTCTGGTCCTCTCATGATTTAAACTTTAATGTCCCTCCAATACAGTCGTTTCAACTTCTTAGATAGAATAGTCTTAAGTCTCTCGACATGCAACTAAGGTATACCAAAAAGTGAACATTGGCATTCTAAAATTCTAAATATAGACATAACCATTTGTATGTAGTATTAGATTATAAACTATTGATAATGGTTTTATTCTTAACCAAATATTCTTAGGGAGAGTAGGAGGTGAATTTAATAAAGAGTTATGAATAATTATTTAAGGATTAATTATAACTAATAGTATAATTGCGAATTATCAAAATATAAAAGGACAAATTAGAAAATTAAAATTTTTGATATAGATATATATATAGATTATGTCAAATTGAAAACATGCCCCGTTGGTCGCTGCGGAAAGAACGCCAGCACGTGGGACCCGCGTGCATCGAGCGACTTCTCTCCTCTCAAGTAATTACTTTCTTTGATGAAAACTTTAATCATTTCGTAAAAGCAACTATGTTCATTCGATAGTTCCTTTTTTATGCAGCCCAAAAGAGGATAGGGCCCACTGTGTTTAGTGAACAATTTGGAGGCCACTTGAGATGAGATTGTCAGGCTTAACTGAGGTGCATCTTGGTGGGGGAAAGGTCAGCTTCCTTTGGTTTGATGAGGAGATAGTTGACTAAATAAAG